AGTTTTGGCTGAAAGTGCCAGAAAGTGAAATTCAACCCTGAACCGTAAATTGGGTGTAGGGACCGCGGCAATCAATCTTGAAGAAAAGCAGCATGGAGTGACCAACTTTATGATGACTGGGTCCCTGCATACATGGGAAAGATGCAAGAATGATTGCGAATTATTCTGTAAACAACAATGTTCAGAGTTGATGTTAGAGAGGGAGAGTTGAGTGAAGCAAGACGACGAACTTAGTGCTAGAGGAGTCGATAAAGCAAAGCGAACTCCCGAAACACGGTGAACAAACCTCGGCGGCAGGTCTCCGAAGAGCAAGCTGGTATTCGTTTTTATGAAAAAGCAAAGGGGAAGTCGTACAGCCCGAGTTGAAGTGTGGAGTTTATTATCAATTCTGACCGCTTTCTGAACAAGGAGTATGTTAAAGTTCCCACCACTCTTCTTATTTTTTTATTCTAATTATATCATATTAATTATATACGCACTCCGTGACCGTTCAGAAATATGCTCCAATACGGGTTTCATGTTTGTTTCGATGCGGGCGTTTGCGTGGGAAATCCAAACGAATATTGCAGTATTTATATAAATCGGTTTTTCTTAGCGAGTAGACAATGAACATCCTCCAAAATTGGTGTAAAGATGCGAAAAAAGATAGAAGAAGTTCTTTAAAAATCTTTGAAAAATTATGACTATAAGAAAATTGCTGTGCCTTTTTGTGGTTTAGATTTTTCCGGCGGAGATCTAATTAGCAAACATTTTTCCTCATAATTTTGCGTTCCTTATAGCTAACACTTTTTTGTGCGTCCCTTGATGCAACTTACAGCATAAAAACCGGATCAAAGAACTTTCTCCCTTCCTTACTAGGGTTCTAAATCGTTTTACCTTGATGATGAAAACGTGCTCCAAGTACACGGCACTTCAGTGCTTGTCCTGATTGCACGCGTTTGTATAGGTTACAAAGGGGCTTCGTCAGTTCCTGGATTTTCAAAGGGGTATTCGTTCTCGTAAGGCTCAATCGAAGACCTCGTATCGAGGCCTGACGGTGAGCAAGGCTGGGCGCTTGATAAGATTTTCGAAAAGAGCTTTCCAACGCTTGAAAATAAGCATTCAAAGCTGATACTGGTAAACTCAAGAAACCTTTGGGGGTGGCGGGCCCTTTGTCATCTCTTCATAACAATGGAGACCCATTTAGGTCCACAGCGTTCAACTTGGCAGCGGTTAAAAAGCATGAGCAGCGCCTGCCAGGGTCTCTTCTCACACATTAGTTTTCTGGTCCACATTGGAAATATTTGGATCAATAAAAGATTGCAGATATTTGCATGTGTGAATAAACATGCAACACAGTTATCTGTATGCTGTTTCAAAATGACTTGTATTCATGTAATATGTAACAATAGTGGAATGATAAATCGAACCTTATACGAAACTTCACTTGTGTCACTAGTTAAACTATTTGTATCCAACTATTTGTCTGTTTTTTTTTCAGCTACTTATGTATATTGCACTTGGTTGACTGCGTTCAATGTTTGATGATATGAAAATTTGTGTCAAACAGTCAGTCGGTAGTCGCTTTCTATGATTTTCTCTCTCTGTCGAACTCTCTTAATTAGGTAGTCGCAAAAGTTTCCCTGCACTTACTTCCCTTATACACCTGCGAATGATAAGCCTCCCTCAGCTTACGATAAAACAGAAGTTTGGTTCCACAAGTTGTAAATTCGCAGAACGTTCTCTTCTCAGATGCATTTGCACTTGTGCCTAGGACAAAAATATTTCGCTAAATCAGATTCGCATATTCATATTGTGCTATGACGAAAAATAATTTGAAGAAAATTGGAAATCTGGCGCAAACTTCCGAGACAACCTGAGTTACATCAATTTCTAAAAAATCTGCAAGCCCACTACCTTTATCAGGTCACCGAAAGTTTTGGATCTGCTTATCTGCTTTTAAGAGTTTTCCTTCCATCTGTAAATGCCTAAATATGTTGTTGCAACGAGTGTTAAATCAAGTTCATGTCAACGATAGACTCAGATACTCGACAATTCAGCACGAATAATAAGATTCTTTGTTTCACCCCGAGTGATAAATCTAGCTTCTTATATCAGATAACCATTTGATAGATAATGGATGCGAGGCACAAAAAAATAAGGCCATCGTGCAGGCATTGCTACAAATAAATGAAGCTAAGAAATATCCATTTATTTTGAAGAAAAGGTAGCTATTGAAAAACTTTGCGTTTGGAAGCTCGTCGGTTGCATGAGCACCTGGATTATTAGATGTTTAAGATTAAAGCGTTAATCGACAATGCAGGTTTTGATGTTATTCTTTGGACAGTGAATTTTTATTTGGTAGGAACTTCTCAATAAACCCTACAGCATATCGACTACACAATGTTCATTAAACGCTAACGTATAATCACTCCCGCATCACAGTTCATAAATACTACTACACAGTGTCATCCAGGTATTGAGGCATTAATAATACATTACTCCTAGACATTTTATAGCTCGGCGGGTTCATGGAGTGGCATCTGAAATCATGCAGTGAAGCATGTCTCCTTCACCTAGTATCAGCTCAAATGCTTTGCTTTTATTGAGTTCTCGAACAAGTACGTGCCGTTTTTCAAATAAAAAATTTCGAGAAATTTGAGTTTTGGGGACAACATACATCATCAAAAGAAAAGTCCTTCTCAGCAAGATGCGTGCTAGCCTTAGGCATTAATGTCGGCTGCTAAACCGAAAGTTTGAAAGATCAAAAAGCTCAACGCAGCTTATTCTTGGAATGCAAGAAGTCTGGAAATTGCTAGAGTGCTAGCTTGTGCAGTGATTGGATATGCTACGAAAATCATATGCATTCGACATGGGCCTTAGATCACGTGTATATGCTACAGTTGTCAAAGTCATGCTTTTTCCGAAGAGTGGTCTATGGTGGTTTATTGACTTGCTGATTACAAGAATCATAGCAACATCGCACAATAAGTCCTAATGTAGGATTAGAGAGATATGAGTTGAGAAGGT